TTTTTAACTTAGCCTTTCTAACAGGTGTATATCACTGTGTCATTGTTTAATTTACACCTTTCTACTAACTCCTGATGTCAAACATTTTTTTCATATTTGCCACCCATATATTTTCTTTGATGTGTTTGTTCAAATCTTCTATCCATTATTAAAACTGGGTTGTTTGTTTTCTTATTATTGAGTTTTGAGAGCTGTGGATGTCATACCAGGGGTCACAAGGTTTGTTGGTATTGTTGTGAGCCACATGAAAGCCTCCTCTGCAGTACCAATCTGCTGGAGAACGTTCCCATAAGACCCACATACTCTAGTTCTGCCCTATTCCCAGAGTTCCAACCACACGTTCCCCCTCAACCTAATTTTTCAAACTTACCCCTCCTAGATGCTGATCATCTAGCTGGTCCATCAGTCACTGCCCACAAAATGGGGTCACGGGTGCCTCAGGCCCTTTCTCCTTACTGAGTAGGTGTTGTATTAGTTTCCTGAGGCTGCCATAACAAATTACCCCAAACATGGTGGCTTGGAACAGCCGAAGTTTATTCTCTCACAATTTTTTATTTTTTATTTTTTTAGTTGTAAGTGGATACAATACCTTTTTTTTTTTTATTTGTTGATTTTTATGTGGTGCTGAGGATCAAACCCAGAGCCTCACACATTCTAGGCAAGCGATTTTACCCCAGCCCCCTCTCTCACAATTTTGGAGGCCAACGGTAGAATAACGGTGTTGGCAGGTCTTCATTCCCTGCAGTGGATTTGGGGAACAATCCACTTGGTCACTCTCCTCCTTCTCTTTCTTCTCTTCCTCCTGCTCCTTCCATCTTTTTGGGCTGGGGACTGAACCCAGCTCTGGCACATGCTATGCGTGAGCTCGGCACTGAACTACACCCCCGCTCACTCCTCTTCTTGTTTCAGGTGGTTGCCACCTTCCTTGGCTGTGGCCACAACTCCCCCATCTAACTCTGTGGTCTTGTCACCTTTTTTTCTGTTATATCCTTTAATATCTGTCTGTTTCTCTGTCTCTGTCTTTTGGCGGCAAGCATCATTGTTGTTAATTTCATTTTGAGGCAGGATCTTGCTAAAGTGCTGAGGCTGGCCTTGAACTTGTAATTCTCTTGCCTCAGCCTTGCAGGTTGCTGAAGTGTGCTTCACTGTGCCACTTGTCATTAAAAGGGGAATGAAGGGAAGGTCAGGGGAGAGGAATAGGAAGGACAGTAGAATTAGTCAGACATAACTTTCCTAGCCTTGTATTTGAATACAAGACCAGAGTAATGCCACATCATGTACAACCACAAGAATGGGATCCCAAATAGACTAAGTTATAATCTATCTATGTATAATTTGCCAAAATACACTCTACTGTCATGTATAATTTAAAAGAACAGGGCTGGGGTTGTGGCTTAGCGGTAGAGCTCTCACCCAGCATGTGTGAGGCCCTGGGTTCGATCTTCAGCACCACATAAAAATAAATAAATATTGTGTCCAACTACAACTAAAAAATAAATATTAAAAAAATTAAAAGAACAAATTAAAAAAAATCCTTATCATTGAATTTAGGGCCCACCTAGATCATCTTGTTGGATCTCCATTTTGAAAAATCCTTAATTTACTTACATCTGCAAAGCATATTTTCAAAAAAAAAAAAAAGAGAGAGAGATAATGTTCACAGGTTCTTGGAAATGGATGTGGATCTTTCAGGGATTGTACTAGCACTTGGAACTCTGTGTTCCATGTAGTTTTCCTTTCCCTGAAGTCCCAAGGGCCTTCCTGAGTGGGGATGTCATGCTGCGGTGGCCCTCTTCTACCAGCTAGCATGCCAGCAGAGCTCTCTCGAGCAGGCAGGGAAAGGGGGACCTGCCCATTCAGCTTCCACAGTGAAAGCAGAGGTACATTAGGGCTTTCCTCCAGCAGAGTATCACCCTAAAATAAGAAGGGGGTTGAGATGCAGGTCAGCCCAAAACAGGACCAAACGATGTGGCAAACATTCATTACAAATAGAGTCACCACCCCTCATCTTTCAAGTCATTGCAAGTAACTAATTTCTGCAGGTCTCCTTGAGACATAATACTGTTTGGGATTTATTCTTTTGTGCACCAGAGGTTTTGGACTAGATCTTCTTAGTCCATTAACTTTTAGCCAAGAATCAGGGGACAGGGAAAGATCCACATTCTGTTGCCAAGAACTCATGAACGTTATCTTTTATAGAGAAAATATTCTTGGGCTGGGGTTGTGGCTCACTGGTAGAGTGCTTGCCTCGCATGTGTGAGGCACTGGGTTTGATTCTCAGCATCATATGTAAACAAATAAATAAAGGTCCATCAATAACTAGTGAAATATTTAAAAAGAAAGAAAAAACATTCTTTGCAGATGTAAGTAAATTAAGAATTTTTCAAAATGGAGATCCAACAAGATGATCTAGGTGGGCCCTCAATCCAATGAGAAGTGTTATTATAAAAGACACACGAAGCTGGGCACAGTGGAGCACACTTGTGACCCCAGATCTTCTTAGTACATTACTTTTTAGCCCAAGGGTCTGCCCATTCCTGAGGTGACCTGGTCTACTGACCCAGGAACATGGGGTGGGTTTGAGGCTGTGCAGTTTAGCACACTTATATCCCTGGATCTTACTTTAATGATCCTATATTTTGTAGCAACAAGTCCTAGCTGATTCTTTGAGCCACACTACATAAAGGTTTTGAATTTCATTTTATCTCTTAAATCAATGATCTAGACATTTGAGCTTATCTTGCATGACATTATTCAATGCCATTGTAAGTAGTCACTGCATTCAGTGTTCTTGATTTTTCCATTCCCTTTCTACCTCTCTATGGCCCAAGTCACTCAGTTCTCAGAACTTGACCCTAGAAGGCACATGGCCCTGGTGTTCACAGCTGATATTTGAGTAGCTGTTTCTCCTCTGTGCACGTCGGCCAGCTCTTTTCCCAGTTTGAACATAAACAGGCGTCTCAGAGCCTGTTGCCTAGGCAAAAAACTCCCTTTCTGGTGCCAATATTTGGATCATATAGGGCTCTTTGGTGACAACAGTCAAAAACTACTCTGGCTAATTAAAGCAAAATAGAAGAAAATAGATTGAAATTAGTTGGCTCACAGAGCTGAAGAAGGAACAGGACAACCTGTTCCTTAGGTGGCATAGGAATCAGAGTGGTGCTGAGGACCAGTAGTAAGAGCGCATGGATTGTTTCTTGAGAATGTTGCCAAGGTCCAACAAAGTACCAGTGTTTTCCCCTCATGCCCATCCACCACCAATTCAGATTTCACAGTGAAAGACTGATGGCCACTTGATCCAGCTTGGATGATCCACTCAGATCAGTAATCAAGGGTCTGCATGCCTTGTGCTTGGCTGACTGACCAGAACCTCAGGAAGCTGGGGAGGCAGGGGAAGGGTGTATGTGGTGGCCAAATGAGGGGTATCCACCAACTCCTAAGAATTTGTTTGGCTGTAGTTAGCCTAAGGCCTTTTTGGAATGAGGAAACACTCAGCCCCTGCTCTAGGGAAGTTTCCAGTCTGATGGTGGAGATGTGAGTGGTGATCTTGATGAACTTTCAATCTGATACTGAAGATGGTCACAAAACCAAAAAAGAGATTAAGAGAAAGAGGGAAGTAGCACAGATATGTTCAAGGCAGAATTGTTTTGAACAGAGCAAAAGTAGAAATTGCCAAACATGCCAATGGGTAAATGATTAAATAATTAGGGTACGTACAACAAATGTTACATCATTGCACAAGTATTAAAATAATGTTTTTGGGGAAAGTACTATGCCAAAATGTTGTATGGTGTAATGCTAAGAGAAAAAATTGTATATAAAGTTGTATATACATTATTATCTGTGTGAAGCAGTATGTGCAGGAGGGAAATGCACCATGTTAACAGAGGCAATACTCATCAATGTTTTTTTAACATTTATTTTTTAGTTGTAGTTGGACAGGATACCTTTATTTTATTTATTTATTTATTTTTATGTGGTGCTGAGGATCGAACCCACATGCAAGGCAAGCACTCTACTGCTGAGCTACCACCCCAGCCCCCTCATCAGCATTTTTGAATACTTCATATGTGATACTCTGGGCTAAACATTTTACACTTACCTAAGCCTTACATGATGGATAAAATCATCACCCCTGTTTTAAAGGTGAAAAAACTGAGGCTCAGGAAGTTTCAACCTATGGATGGTTACTTAGCTAGTAAGTGGCTGACTCAAATCCAGGTTGGTCTAAAGCCAAAGTTTGTGTTTTAAAGATGGTCTTATCTTTCCTGAGCTCTTGATGTGGAGGATAGGAAGGATTTTTATTCTTTTACATATACTTTCCTAAATTTTCCTACTTCTCTACAGTAGCCATGTAGTTACCCATAAAATTAAGAGAAATATGTTTTTAAAAGGGAAATATATAAAATTGTATATATATATATATATGTATAAAATACATAAACAGGGAGAAAGGCATTGCACTGAACAAAGAGCATATGTTAAGGTCTGAGAAGGCTCATGAAGAATGCTCTTTGCTGCGCTTTCTAGTCCCTTCTGTCCTCGGTCTGCGTGTGGTATTTTCATACACACTCATGCATTATCAGCGTACGTGTCTCACTGCCGTTGAGGGCAGGGTTCCTGCCTTTTTATCTCTGTGGCTTTTGCTTGGAAGTTATCCTCCAACACAAGCTTAATGCATACTAACTAGACTCTTTGCAATTGTTGACTGAACGAAAGGGACCAGAAAACACAACCAGGAAAGATTTTGCTGACCTCTGGCGGTGGGGGTTGGGGACTTCGGGAGGGCGACGGGGAGCCAGACCGGGGTGGGTAGTGTGTGGTCGGGGCTTTTTGTGGGAGAAGCCGTTTTGCGATTGGAATTGAGCAGAGAAACGTGGCAGCCACAGCCCAGCCCTCCCAATTCCTGTCGGCTGCGGGTGGGTGAGAGGGGTCCCAGGTCCCCGCAGGGGGCGCGCGGGGTCCGGTGGCTCCCGGCTCCACCCCGCGGGGTCAGCCCCGCCCCCGACTCGGCCGTCCGGCCCCGCCCCCTCCCGGAGCCCCGGGGCGCTGGCCGCGGTGCTGAAACGACGCTCTCCGCAGAGGGAGGAAGGCAGGGCCCCGCCCGGCGAAGGGAGCGGGACTCCCTGGAGCTCTGAACTGGAAAAACGGGAGGGGACAGGGTGGCGCCAGCAAGACCTTGAGAGGAGGCAGGAGACCAGAGATAGGCGTGTTAGAGCCGAGACAGGCACCTGGCAAACCTCACCTGAGGACGCCAAGGCCATCCTTGTCCTGTTAAGCCTCTTCCCCGCCTGCGCTGGAAGGATTCTCACCTTGTGCCCCGACCTCAGCCTCCTTTCCAAGCCCCGCTGAGGAGTGACTCACTTCTGGGCCTCCATCCACATAGACTCCGCCTGGCAGCTCACAAGCCCCTGGTCCAAGGCCTGCTGCCTTCACCATGGTGAAGTTGCTGCCCGCCCAGGAGGCAGCCAAGATCTACCACACCAACTATGTGCGGAACTCGCGGGCAGTGGGTGTGATGTGGGGCACGCTCACCATCTGCTTTTCCGTGCTGGTCATGGCCCTCTTCATCCAGCCCTACTGGATCGGTGACAGCGTCAATACGCCCCAGGCGGGCTACTTCGGCCTTTTCTCCTACTGCGTGGGCAACGTGCTCTCTTCCGAGCTCATCTGCAAGGGCGGCCCTCTGGACTTCTCCTCCATCCCTTCCAGAGCCTTCAAGACAGCCATGTTCTTCGTGGCCTTGGCCATGTTCCTCATCATTGGCTCCATCATCTGTTTCAGTCTATTCTTCATCTGCAACTCGGCCACTGTCTACAAGATCTGTGCGTGGATGCAGCTGGCTGCAGGTGAGCGAGCGGGGTTGATGGGAGGGCAGGCCACAGCCATGGCTACATCATCCCACTCTGTGTGGAGGCTCCAGGTCTTCTACTTAACGATCTGTTTAGATTCTGAACAGGGAATCTTAATGACTGAAGCATAAAGGACTTCAGAGACCAAACTTTTCAAACTTCATATATTACAAAGATGGTCTTATCTTTCCTGACAGCAGTGACTTGAGCAGAGCACACAGCTCCTGGTAAGAGAACTCAGGTGTCCTGACTCCCAGGACACCATACTTTGAGAGGTTGTTGCAGCTCCAGGAAGAAGAAAGAAGGAAGCGTCCACTGTCGGCCCTGTGGGAATAGGACTCAGCCTGGCGCAAAATAGTGATGTGGGTCACCATTCTAGATGCCCTCATCTCCCACTTCTGGGCATTTGTTCTATCTCACTTATCAGTACTCACATTCCTGCCCTCTCTCCAACCCTAAATAGTACTGATGGGCATTTCTAAGGTCAGTCATGTATTTTGGAGTGTAGCTATTACACCATGTGTGACCTCTCCCTTAGAAACTTGCATCAAAACTCCCCTTTCTCACTGTAGAGTGAATCGTTGTTCCCTCAGTATAGGATTTCATACTTGAGGCAGCAAATGGAGCAATATTTTGTGAGGTGGAGGGAGGCTGTCCAGGGTCCTTTAAAACTATATGAGATAGGCAGCCATTTGTGGTGACCGAGGCAAGGATTTTACTCCCCTTTTTCCTGCTCCTGGCCCATGCAGGCTTCTTGGTGCTTTTCTCCTCTGGGTCAACTGTTTTTTTTTTTCCTTTCTCCTCTAGAGCCCAGGAAGAGATGGACCAAGATCTTTTCTGTAGCCTTTGATCCCTTCATCCCCGTCTATCCCAAGGCACAGACTGTCCATGCTGGATGTTCAGGAACAGTGCTGGGGACTGCAGACTAGAGCGGAACTCCCAACATCTTTGGTTAGAATGGGATGAGGTGTTATCTCAGGAGAAAATGAAACAGGAATCTGAATCCCAGACCACCAAACACATAGTGCAGAGTTAGAGGGGGTCCCCAGAGAGCTATATCCCACCAGCAACTGCAGATGAGGAATCGGGGTCTGAGAGAGAGGGTCAGACTTGGCAATCAGCTGGCAACTGAGAAGTAGGAGAGGTAAAGCATCAGGTCCCCCAAAACTTAGAATACTCCAAAGACATTCTTTTTTTTTTTTTTAGTTTGTAGATGGACACAATATCTTTATTTTTATTTATTTATTTTAATGTGGTGCTGAAGATCAAACCCAGGACCTCAAGCATGCTAAGCAATCACTCTACCACTGAGCCACAACCCTAGCCCCTAATGACACTCTTTTTGAGACTCATATTTATATAAGTAAAATGATTTACAAGATACTTTCACATATTTCATCTGGAGAGCCTCATCACAACCCAGAAGTGAATATATTTACATTTAACAGTTAAGACTGCTGGTGGGTAACTTGTCTTTGGGGGTAGATTCTTGATTCCCAGTCTTATACCCAGGCCACTAGCTTGACTTCAGAACCTCTTCTAGATATCCCCACTCTCTCCCTCTCCTCTGTAGTCTCTTTATATGATAAGAGAGAGATCAGGACAGGAGTGAGGCAAAATTTGGTGGGTAATGGAGACAAGAATAGAGGGTGGTCATATCAAGAAAGAAGGGGAGCCAGTTATGATGGCATACACATGAAGTCCCAGGGTCTTGGAAGACTGAGGCAGGAGGATCACAAGTTTGAGACCAGCTACAGCAACTTAATGAGACCCTATCTCAAAATAAAAAAGGGTTGCGGTGAAGAGAAAAGAAAGATGGAAAGAAAAGATAAAAGAGAGGACTGAAGATATAGATAGCAGTTCTGTGCCAAAGAGGAGTAGCATGGACTCTGACGTGCCTGCCAGCTGGTTCTCCATCAGGGTGATGGAATGCTGGAGACACACCATTCCTCTTTTATTCCCAGTGCTGCCCACCCCTCACCCCAATGTCTGCAACAGGTGCCATTTGCTGAGCAGTACCAGGAAGGCCTGGGTGGGGGAGGTGTCAGCAGGCTACTTGAGTCAGACCCTATCTGGGTCACAGAACTAGTGACACTGATAGCAGAGGTAGCCAGGTGCAATCATATGAAACATTTATCTTTGGAGAAGGCAAAGGTGGTATCGTGTTCCATTCTGCTGTGTTGGAGAAGGAAGGATGAGCCAAAGAGAGGAGAATAAGGAGGGGGTACACCCAACAGCAAGCAGCTGGGAGGCACATTAATTTACAGAAACCTAAACAAGTTCGCTTAACTTTGCCCACTAGGCTGGGAGCAGGGAAGTGTTAGAGCAGGGATAAAAGATCTGATTAATGAGGCAATGTGGGGTTGTAGCTTAATAATATTAGCTGAGCATCTGGAGGCCAGGTATAGGCTGAGTATGGTCCTAGCTCCTAAAGCCATAGGCAAGTCAAGTTGCTTGTCTTCTCTGGGTCTTGGTAAGCTCATGTCTTAATCAATTTGGGCTGCTACAACAAATCATCTGAGACCAGGGGGCTTAAACAACAGAAATTTATTTATCACAGTTTAGGAAGCTAGATGCCTGAGATCAGGGTGCCAACCCAGCCTGGTTCTGGTGAGAGCCCTCTTCCATTGCAGACAGCTAACTTTGTCCTTGTCCTCAAAAATGGAAAAGAGGTCAAGAAGGTTCTCAAGATCTTTTTTTTGTAAGGGCACTAATTCCATTCATGAGAGTTCCATCTTCATGATCTAATTACTTCCACAAAGCCCCATCTTGTAATAACTGCTACATTTGGAGTTAGAATTTTAATATATGGATTTTTGAAACATAAACATTCAGTCTATTGTACTCATCCATAGAATGTAGCAACAGGAATAGGGTTCTTTTTTTTTTAATTTGTTCTAACTAGTTATACATGACAGCAGAATGCATTTCGATTCGTTGTACACAAATGGAGCACAACTTTTCATTTCTCTGGTTGTACACGATGTAGACATACATATGTGCAGACACACACGGACCTAGGGTAATGATGCTCATCTCATTCCACCATCTTTTCTGCCCCCATGCCTTAATGGGGTTCTTGTGCAGGTGAGATGATATTATGCATGCAAAATACCTAGCACAGTACCTAGTACATGGTAGGTACTCAGTAAATGTGCAAAACTGAAAACAACCTCTTCGGTAAGATAGGAAATGTTGTTACAGTAATAATTCCTAAGTCTTAGTGGCTTGAAACAAAGGTTTATTTCTTGCTTATATTACCTGCCCTCGGAGGATCAATTGGGGGCACTACGCTTATTGTTCTTCTCTCCTTTTGAACCCCAGGCTGAAAAAGCATCACTTGTCATTGACATGTGCAGAGGGAAAGAGAGCTCTGGAAAGTCTCCCACCAGCAGTTAAATTCTCTAGCTTAGCAGTGTACACATTTCTGCTCATTTATTGATCAAAGGAGTTCATGTGGCCTTGCATAACCTCAAGAGAGTGGGGCAAGGAAGTATAATCCTACCTCGTACTGGGAATATTTGTGAATATCTCTTATGATGCCCACATCCTGCAAGATAGCTTTCATCAGAAGGAATTGCCAATAACAATAGCAAGAATTAACATCATTGGCCTTTCACCATGTACCAGACACTGGTATTTTCTTTACATGACTATACTTATTCCTCACAACCCTGCTTTGAGTCAGGTATTAGTCTCTTTAGAGCTCTGAGACACACAAATGGGATAGTCCCCCAACTATGCACAGAACCAGGGGTGGATGGATGGGGTGCAACCCACCCATACACAGTAACAACAACCTGTTTCCAAGCCAGAAGCTTTGAATTCTTTTACAGAACCCCTATAGGAAATTTTATAGACAGGGAAGGGGATTGTGGGGAGAGTTTTGGGAGAAAGAGAAGTATAAAAGAGCAGTTTCTTTCCACTTTCACCTGTGCATTCAGCATTTGTAGGATGCTGCTTAAACTAGAGTCCATGCCAACCAGCCAAGGGCAGGCTATACATTTTACCAAATTGCTGTGGAAGGATTCCCTCTCCCTTACCCTAAGTGTCTTCCTGAACACTTTTCAGTTTGTCAAGAAGTCTGAAATGTCACCACTAAATACATTCAGCCCTTTGGATAAATGTCACAATCTAGTATGGAAGGAATTAATTTTGAAGTCAGGCCAGGTGTGGTGACACATGCCTGTAATCCCAGTGGCTCTGGAGGCTGAGGCAGGAGGATCACAAGTCCAAAGCCAGCCACTCTAGGTAATGTAGCAAGGCCCTGTCTCAAATTTATTAAAAAATAAATAAATAAAAGGGCTGAGATGTGGCTCAGTAGTTGAGTCCCCCTGGGTTTAATCCCAAGTACCAAAAAGAAAAAAGAAGTCAGGAAAATCAGAAGGAAGTACTATAGCTGGTTAACTAAGAAAGCTGCCTGATTTCTCTGAGACCTCAATTTTCAAATCTGTAAAAGGGGGGATATTAATATCTGGCTTACTTTATGCAATTTTTGTCATGATCAAGATAGTACATGAATTTTTTTGTGATTCCTTTAAGAGCTGTATAAATTATTTTTAAAATCTTATAAAAAATCGAAGGAAAGTTAATATATTTAGGTGAGGAGAGGGGACCCTGGTCTTCACATCATATGTTTGATCCACTTACTTTCCTTGTAAGAACAAGCTGAATCCAAGGAATGTAATTTTTGCTTGCATGAGATACTTCTTTGAGCATCTTCTGGGTAGGATATGGTTTGGGGACTAGGGGGCCCCTGAGCTTGTGGAAAGAGGGTCAAGGGTGGGAAAGTGGCACAGATAAAGGCCCTGCCTGCACGGCAATTGTGGTTGGGATCACCCTGGTCACATTCTAGGATTATGTCACCTGTCTATGCTTCACCCTATTGAAGCTAATGTGAGAAAAGTGGTTTCATGGAAGGTATGGAAGAAATTGGGGGAGGAAGGGGAAAATAAAATTTAATGTTAGGCTGCCTTGTCAATGCCAAGTCAGTAGGACACTGAGTAGCTGTGCCCAGTAGCTAACCCTCATGGAATGCCTCATGTTGTGCCTGGCCCAAGTTCCTTTCCATTATTAACTAAATTTAAGCTTGCTATAACCCCAACACATAGGCGATATTATCTCCATTTTACAGATAAGGAAACTCAGGCAAAAAAAAAAAAAAAGTTTAAGCAGCTTGCTTCAAGTCACACAGCTAATTAGCAAAAACCAGTGGGCTTGAAATCCAGGCAGCCTGGTCTAGTGTTTTCCACCTCTCCTATGGAAAGAATTGCCTGGAACAGTGCTTCTAACAACAAAGATTCTTGAGCCCAACCTTGGCCTGAGTTCCAGCACTTAAAATGAATATTCCAGAGGATTTTTAATCAGGCAAGTGTGAGCAGCTGCACTGTGCAGTACTAGGTATGGGGAGGAGGAACCTGTTTGCTCACATGGAAGGTTCATGAAGAAAGCATGCATTGGGGCTTGGAAAGCCTTCTTGTAGTCACTGAATCTAATATCTTTGAGATATAGGACACATTATTATGCTGTATACTGTAAAAAGGGAAAATACTGCTAATCAAAACTATGGACTAATGCTTTCTTATTATACTTATTTCCGAGATGTTGAGATGTTGAAATATGAACAATATATATTTTCAGAGAGATAAGTTCTCTGGGCTGGATCCCCCACCCCCATCCTCCCAGGGATTGAACACAGGGGTCCTTAGCCACTGAGCTACATCCCAAGCCCATTTTTATTTTTATTTTTTAAATTTTGAAATAGGGCCTCGCTAAGTTGCTCAAGGCCTTGCTAAGTTGCTGAGGCTGGCTTTAAACTTGTGATCTGACTGACTCAAGCTCCTAAGCCACTGGGACTAGATTTGGGAGGGTTTTGGAGCCAGGGCAAGCAGTGCCTCCTTGAGTCCAAGATGAAGAGATAAGCTGAGGGGCTGGTAGGACTATCTAATGCAGTGACAGATGTCACCCTGGCCAAAGAGCTCAGTTCTTTGCCTCTGCCTCTGACTGCTGGGTCTCAGGGACCAGCTGCTTTTAGATTTTGGAGCCCATTTTTTTCACTTGTGTTTTACAAGAAGAATGGTAGAAGCTGCCTAATGTTCCTCTCAAGGCTAATGCAAAGACCAGGGAGGTGACAAGATAAGAGTAATTCAAAGTGGGAGGTAGGGAGCTGACACCCCTAGCATGACAGCATCTTTACCCTTTTTTTCCCCCTTAGCCACAGGTTTAATGATAGGCTGCCTGGTCTACCCAGACGGCTGGGACTCAAGTGAGGTGCGACGCATGTGTGGGGAGCAGACAGGCAAGTACACTCTGGGCCACTGTACCATCCGCTGGGCCTTCATGCTGGCCATCCTCAGCATTGGCGATGCCCTCATCCTCTCCTTCTTGGCTTTTGTTTTGGGCTACCGGCAGGACAAGCTCCTCCCTGATGACTACAAGGCAGATGGAAAAGGTAAATTACCCTCCTCCACAGTGTGTCACCTGCCTGGGGATCCTAGGTGGGCAGATAGACATAGCCCTAGTCCTCCTAAGCAAGTGCTCTATGACTGAGCCAGACCCTCAGCCCTTACTCAATTTTAAAAACAGGCAATTTGAATAGACATCTCTGCAAAGAAGATATGTATATGGCAATTAGCATATAAAAATACTCACCATCATTAATTATTAAGAAAATGCCAATCAAAACCCACTTACTAGCAGGGTTACAATAAAAAGATGAACAATTAAACGTGTTGGTGAGGGGGCTGGGATTGTGGCTTAGCACTTGCCTAGCATGCATGGGGCCCTGGGCTCGATCCTTAGCACCACATAAAAATAAATGAATGGAATAAAGGTATTGTGTCCAACTACAACTAAAAAAATAAATATTAAAAAAAAAACAAAAAACAAAAAAGTGTTGGTTAGCATGTGAAGAAATTGGAACACTTAGACAATGGAAACAGTCTAGCAGTTCCATATAGTTAATCATAGTTATCATATGATCCAGTAATTCTACCCCTAGGTATATACACAATAAAACTGAGAACATGGGTTGGGGTTGTGGCTCAGTGTTAAGGACCTTGCCTCACATGGGTGAAGCATTGGGTTTGATCTTCAGCATCATATAAAAATAAGTTAATAAAATAAAGGTATAAAAATTCATTAAAAAACCCTGAAAATATACATATATTCATAAAAACCTTGCACACAAATGTTGAAAGCTGCATAACAGCCAAAAAGTAAAAACAATCCAAATGACCACCATCTGATGAGTGGATAAACAAAATGTGTTTATCCATATAATGAATATTAAGAAGGAATGAAGGATAACAGGATGAACCTCTAAAACAATGAAAGAAGCCTGACACAAAAGACTGGCTTCCATTTGGATATGTTTGATTCTATTTATATAAAATGTCAGAATAGGCAAATCCATACAGACAGAAAGCAAATTAGTAGTTTCCTGTGGGGGGAAGAGGGAGGAATTGACAGTGACTGCTAAGGGACATAGCATTCTTTCTGGGGTGATGAAAACGTCTTAGGATTAGACAGTGATGATGGTTGCACCAACTGGTAAATATACTAAAAACCACTGAGTTTTATACTTTAAATGAGTGGATTTTGTTACTGAATTATATTAATAAAAAGGATTATTCTTAGGATTCAATAATACACATAAAGCACTAATAAAGCCTGCATATTATAAATGATTAATATTAGTTCTCTTCCCTCTGGTCTTTCCAGCATCTCTACTTTTTATCACACTTCCATCCAATAATAACAACTATTGTGCTCCAGTTACCTACCAACATCTTTAGGCACTGGGGGTAAAGTGGTGACTGGAGAAGTCTAAATTGGAGCTTACAGTCTGGTAAGGGAGACAATCATTAAGTACAGAATTACAAACTGATAAATATTATGTACAGAAAAGTGCAAGCTTTCTTGAGAGTGAATGAGAGGGATCTGATTTAGTTTGGAGATGGGATAATGTGCTGGAATTACCCTAAAAACAAGGCTTGGCTGTAAACACATACTGTTCTTTCATTACAGAGGAAGTCTAAAGCGGCTGAAGGGTCGGTGAGTAACTTTATTGGAAGGTGGTCTGCATGCCTTTGAAGAGCTGGGGCCTTTCAGCTTTCTTGTTGAATTCTTAGGCAGAATGACTCCTGGGGTTGGAGTGTAGGGGCTACTATGATGCAGCCTGCCTGGGACAGAGGAGGAGCAGACCACCAGTGTGGGAGCTAACTGGCACCTGAGACCTCCCCTGGTGTGGGGTGGGGTCAGACAGGAAGCCTTTGGTTTTACCTGAGTCTTGAGATATGGAAAAGAACAAGAAAAGGAATACTTCAAAATAGATATGGGGTTAGCTTCCTAAACTTATTTATTTTTGGAGCCTGGCAAACAAGAACAGATTGTTTTTAGAAATTGTCATTATCATTTGGACCCTTATTTTCAGAAAAAAAAAATTTTAAATGATTTGTAAGAAACAGTAGAAAACCTAATAAAATAGGAAATAAAAGTCATAGAGAGAAAAACAAATATTCAAGAAAGCTAGTCTAATAAAATTACTATATTAAGTTTAGCTGTATGCTTCCTGATAGCTGAGGCAAAAAGAAAAAACAATGAATTAACCAGTTTTAATGTCTGACTCAAAAGGAAGCACAACATAATAATTTCTTTCTTTAGTTCACAAAATGTGACATAAGAAGACTATTAAGGAGTAAAACCAATAACAAAAAACCTACAACACTGTCATCTAAAAGTGCCATTTATTAAGCAGGCCAGGTACTTTGTGTGAGTAAGAAGAATTATCTCCTTTTACATTATTATTATTATTATTATTTTGGCACAGGGGATTGAACTCAGGGGCACTCAATCACTGAGCCACATCCCCTGCCCTTTTTTATATTTTATTTAGAGACAGGGTTTTACTGAGTTGCCTAGTGCCTCATTTTGCTGAGGCTGGCTTTGAACTCGTGATCCTCCTATCTCAGCCTCCCAAGCCTGTGGGATTACCGCCCCTGGCTCCATTTACATTATTTTTATGGTGCAAAGTACCTTCTAATCCTTGACTATCTATACTCTTATGAATAATTATAACACCTCTCTACCCATTAGAGCATAATCAAACTTCAGTGTGCATTTAGTTACCTGGAAACTTTTTTAAAATGCAGATTTTCGGGGACTGGGGTTGGTTGTAGCTTAGTGGTAGTGCACTTGCCTAGCATGTGTGAAGCACTGGGTTCAATTCTCAGCACCGCATATAAATAAATAAAATAAAATGTAGATTTTGATTCAGTTGGTAGAGGGGCCGCAGACACTGCATTTCTAACCAGAATCGTGAATTGGGATCATACTTTGAGTAGCAAAGTATTAGAGAATCAAACACTTTTCCCCATGTTTTTGAAATGTTCATTATTAAAATTTTTTAAAGCCATGAGTTCCATAGCATTGATGTACCATTACTTTCTAAACCACACCTTGGTTATTAAGACATTTAGGGTTGCTATCATAGCGAATAACTTTCTGCTTTTGTTGATAAATTTCCAAATGAAATCACTAAATCAAAGGGCAACTATATCGCTTTGCCTCCCTTCCCCCTACTACATTTTCAAAGACCATACAAGGGACAATGAATACTATCTTACTCATGAATGAGGAAATTCCTACATCTGGGTAGAACTGAAGTTGTAATGCGAGAATGTTATTATTATTTTTTTTACTTAAAAAAATGTCAAATCTAGGGGCTGGGGTTATGGCTCAGTGGTAGAGTGTTCACCTAGGATGTGCAGGGCACTGGGCTTGATCCTCTCAGCACTACATTAAATAAATAAATAAATAAAATAAAGGTATTGTGTGTGTCCAACTAACTAAAAAAAAAATTTAAAAATGTCAAATCTGAAATCTTTTGTTGTCTTGTTTTTCTTACATTACAGGTCATTTATTTCCCAGACAATGGAAAATTAGGGCATCTAATTCTTCAGATATAACTCTTTCCTCTAGCTTCCTTGTCCCTGGCCCAAGTCGTGCATCGTGGTTGGAAGCTGACCATCTCTTAAGACAAGACTCCTGCAGCACAGAGACCTCTTCCAGGTGAAGCAGAACTGCAGTGACCTTTATCAAAGTTGTGGCATGGGAGTTGCTCAGCCATGAAGGAATCTGAATTTCATTCCTATCCTTTAACACCAGCTTTTCTGTAAAATGAGAAGCCTGGCAAGTCCTCTCTAGCGGTCTCTCCTCAGTCTCTGGCAAGTACTTCACACAGGGTACAATCATTTCAAGGCACACGCAGAAACAGATGCTAACAGCTCTAAAAAGGTCACTGAAGAGGAGGTGGCTGAAAGTATGTTGGATTAATTCAGGCTGATTGTGGGGGCAGGGGGGTCTCTTGCTTCTCCCCGCTTTTTGCTTACTTACTGATGTTCAGAGAGGCAAGGAACGGTGGAACCACCAGAATCTGAATCCTTTAACATCCATCAGTTAGTCTAATTGGGTAAATGTATGTAGGACCTAAAAACTCCTGAGGTGTTGGAGGTATAGTTCAGTAGTATAAAGCTTATCTAGCATGCACAAGACCTCAGGTTCATCCCTGGTACAGTGAACCAAAAACCCTTTGAGACTAATTTCACACTTATCTCCTCAATATTTCCTCACAGTACCTACACTGACCCAACCAGAACCAGATACCAGCTTCAGAAATTTGTTACCTGTATCCAAGTCATTTGTTACAGGAATAGAAGGCACTTCATGTCAAAAACTTTTGAGCGATACTGAAATAGGATCTGGTCTTTGTCCATTTTGAGTGACTCAGTAAAGAAACTACCTGGGTATGCTATTCTCACAGGGGGAGAGGGGATAAATGCTGAATAAAACTAAGAATCTTGGGCTGGGGATGTGGCTCAAGCGGTAGCGCGCTCGCCTGGCATGTGTGCGGCCCAGGTTCGATCCTCAGCACCACATACCAACAAAGATGTTGTGTCCGCCGAGAACTAAAAAATAAAT